TTACTTTATTTCATTCACTGATTACCAGTGGCATACTTGGCATTGATATCAGTGATTATCCACTGATTCAGATTTAGAGAATAAGAATTGACTATGAATACCGGCCAGAGAGCCGTATTAGCCGTCTTAAGACGGTCTTGAAATAAGAACGGATTATGAATACTGGCCAAAGAGTGACAATTGAGCCAGTGTTGAAAAAGAGTGGCTCAATTGTCAATTGTCAAAAGTGAGATTTCAGAGTCTTTAGAGTTACATTCCACTCCAAAGATTTTAGAGAGTAGAAATGGAAATTTGCATCTTACGTGCGTCTTGCAGAGCAATCGTAGAAGCCTCCATCCTGATCGTCCGTTCTGATACCCCCACGTCGTTTATCGTTGAATTCTGTCGCGGCAAATCGCGTGAATGACTATGTACGCATCGAGGGGTGCCATCGACCGAAATAGATTTTCCAAAATGTACGAATCCCCGAGGTTGGAATTTAAATATCACGCGATATATATATATATATATATATATACACCGGGAAATCTCGGGCGAATTTAAATGCCTGGACGATCGCGAGTAACGTCAACAGTCGACGAGAAACGTAAGTTAATCCTTAATGCACGGAAAGAACGATTTTGCTAAAGTATATAAAAATTTAGCTTATAGATACAGATCTAAAAATAAATTTGTTGGACCCTCAAAATAGTAAAAATTTCAAATACGTATAATGATCGATGCTGTAAAAGTTTAAGTTTTGGCATTCTAGCAATCAGTTTGAGCTCTACATAATTATTTTGATGATCCAACTAAATTTTTAGATATGTTAATAGAAACATCCTTTTCATGCATAATTTCACCTTTTCCACTACTGGATTTCCCTTTAAAAATATAAAAGTGAAGATAAAGTCTGTGCAAAACTGTTCTTGTTGTTCAAAGAGTACAGAGATTTTTGAGGCGTTATAATGAAAAAAGTCGCACAAAAATATAAAATTTTTATTACTTAAAATTCGATACAGATTTTAACCTTTGCATCGAGAAAAAGGGTTAAAAAGTGTGATTTGAGAAATGTAATCTCGAAAGAGCTATTGATCGTTCCAGATATACCTCCGTTATCGGAACTCGAACGGAGATGTATCTATACAATTCCATTTATATATATAGATTCGAGGATTTAAACGATTCGAGAAAACGAGAAAGCCGAGGAAATCTAAAAACATACAGATACAGAAAATCGACGACTCGATTAATTTATCTCAATTCGAACCGATTTTTTGACTCTCGCAGATTTTCGCGGATAATCGCGACATTCACAATCCCGATGTATCTTGCTAGTGATTAATGTGTGTTTTTCGTGAGCTCACGTGAGTGCAAGTTCAGTACAATAAAGTTAATATCCTTGGTGGAAGATACGATCGCGTGTTCGCGTGTCGGATACGCGAGTTGTACTAAAGGCAACGTCGACTCGGGCGATTCGCGATCGCTCAGAGCTTCTCTCGTATGCAACGAAGAAGCGTTCTCTTCTATCCTCGCCCACTTGCTCTGCCTTCCACCATTGCTCTCCTACTTTCCTCCTCTCGCATTCTTCCCCCTTAATCGATTAAGAGAATTGATTCTTTAACCCTGCAGAATTCCTCGCGGGTCTATTTTCGAGCGACTTCATCGATAAAACGCGCAGATCATAAATATTATCATTATCGCGTCTAAACTTTGTAGTTTTGTCAATACTTTTCATTTCTTGAGACATCTTATAAAAGCTTATTAAATTCGAAAAAGAAGAGATGCAGATTTCATCAAATTGTCACCTTATGGCAACTGTAACAATAAACGCCATATTTTACAAGCAAAAAAACTGTTTTGCTGAAGAATTAAAAAATTTTATTAGATTTAAAAAATAATTTTGCTGGACCATCAAAATAATTGTTAAAACTTTTTAAACGTTGATGACAATGTTTGAAAAAGCTTTAACATTTCAAGAACGATTGAAACGTTTTGCTTAGCTATTCTGATAGTCCAAATAAAATTATTATCAAATATAACACCAAAATGTAATGTGGATTTAAGACTCTTGGTGTTAATTTATGAAATTATTCGGAACGAATTCTGATCAGAGATCAATTGTTTAATTATTCTCTGAATTTCCATTGTATTATCTCTAAAGAAAATTTCGATTGGAATTCATTCCAGACTTCAATTGTAATTCCTAAGGAATAATTCTAATCGAAATCTATTCCGAACAATTCTATAATACGTGCCCTGAATATATTAGCTATGTAACTTTTATTTCTCTTCCTATCTCGACCGATTGCAGGAACAGACGTCCGTGAAAATAGCAACGCTTTATCTATGCAGGACCAACACAACGGGCAATCTTATCTTAATGGGAAACTAATCGGGTGACGTGTTGTGTATTGTGAATAATTTATTACTATTTAGAACACGAACAAGCGAGGTCAGACTATAAAATGAACAAAATTCGATTTCAGAATAATGATCGAGACCTATTTCCATTAATATTAGATAAACTTTAATCTCAATTCAACTGATTTATCTTATTTTAATTCTGAGCACTAGAAAAAGATAAAAAGTAGGTTAAATTGAGATCAAAGTTAGTCTATGTTGATGAAAACCATTAGATATCTAAAATAATCTAGTTCTTTTCAGAAAAAACATCGATATGGAAAGAACGTCGATATGGAAAGAACGTCGATATGGAAAGAACGTCAATGCTGGGATTTAAGATATATTTCTTATTCTTCATTGCAATGTTTATTCTCCATTATAATTCATCTAAATCTTCGGATCTTTAAAATATATATATTATCTGGAATATTTAAATTTTTATACTGTTTTTACCAATGTAGATTGACTTCAACTTTCTCAATTTAATGTATTCTTCATTTTTTTCAATTCTTATTATAAAAAAAATTAAGAACATTGAATTGAAATTAAAGTTAATCTATATTAGTGAAAACAAGTATTTAAAATAAAGCGACATTCTTCGATAAATAAGAATTTAAATAATAATAAAGGAATTTAATAAATAAAATGAAAATAACTAAATAAAAATAAATAAAATAAAAGTAAATAAATATCGAGACTCTGATTGGGATTCATATTTTATAATTTTCCTAATTTTTTCAAAACATTTCATTCTTAAGATCGTCAAGTAAGAACTGTTTCTGTTTCACATTACAATTAGATAATCGACAAGTTTGCAAAAATTATCTAACAGGTCTTTCTCTTTCATCATTTTCTCATAATAAGTTATATCCAGTCCATCAATGCGATACATGTATAACATTTTCATGCTAAATCATTGATGTTTATGATAGAAAACAACGGATAATATCACTTTTGCGGTAAGCAAGGTAATAACATTGAGAATAATAATTGGCAACGCGTCAACACGCGGGTGAACAAAGATGGCCTTCGAAAATAAGACACCTGTTAAAATCAATCATACATGTACATCGCAAGAAAAATATAAGCTCCAAAAGTACGCCAAATTTGTTTACATCCAACCTCGTTAAATTAAGTCAGTATATTAATAAACATTAACGACTAATAAAAAAAAACTCGATTTTCTCTCTCTCTCTCTCTCTTTCACTCTCACCTTCTATCTTCCTCTTTTAGCAATGAAACACAAGAGAGACAGGCAGACTGATGGCACAAGATTAGTGCTCCAAATTACCCAATTTTTCTCCTTAATTCGTCCTGTAATTACCGCCGCTACGCAGAAAGGAGGCGAAAGAAGAAAAACAGCGTTGACGAGATCTAATTAATCCAAGCTGTCGAGGGAAGGAGAGGAGAGGGAGTGACTATTAAATGATTAAATTGGTAGGTTAGGTCGGTTCGCGGCGTATCGACCGGTCGCGCCGTATTGACGACGAAATTTGGCGGCTGCCAAAATGGTCGGCGCCGTGTGTACTGTGTCTTCCGTCGTCTTTCTCTCACCTGTGGGAAGGCAAAAAATAAAGAGGAGAAAGAGAGAGAGAAAGAGAGAGAGAGAGAGAGAGAGAGAGAGACCGCGGCGTGCGACTTCTCATCGCTTCTCACTATTACATCTCACTTACCATTTCGCTGCATCGTCGTTCCGCCGGGGCGTCACAACGGCTCATCGAGCATAATCCTCCGTGCGTGGGTGACGCGGGTAAACGGCCACCAACGCGCTTCTTCGCATGCCACACTCGCGAGAGACGACGAGACGCGACGAGACGCGATGAGACGCGGCCACCGGGCGATCAGAGCGAACGCGAGAACGTCGACGCTCCGTAACGCGATACAACCGCACTTTTCAAATATTTCGCGTAGCCAGCCTCTCTCGCACGATTCGAGTGTCGCCGACGCATGCGCACGAACGATAACCGACGCGACGACACCGGTTGGCGGTCCGCGAGGAAAGATGGCCGACTCTCGCGCCGTTCTCAATCCTCACCTAATGCCACCTGTCGCTGCCTCTCGGGAAGTAACCGAGTGCCGACGGTGCCGATCATGTGATGCTTCCTGGGGAATCCTGGGGTGAACCAGTGAACGGTGTTGACGGTGGTCGACAGTTCTTTGACGTTGTCACCACTTGGAAATGCATTATCTCTTAAGTGAATATTTAATCTTTAAAGCCTGATTTTTTTCGTTTTATTTTTTCGTTAATTTGTGGTTTAAACTTAACCTCATTTAATCTGACAGTCATTAAAAAGTTGTTTTTCTAGCAATAATTAATCACTAAACTGATGCTTTTATGTAGTTGTGCGGTAACTTTAAAGTTCACTCATTATAAAATTATCCGTTTAATGCTATTATTAGGTTAAGTTTCATCCAGAGTTGTGCAGAGTTGTGCTGTATTTTCACGGTTATGTTTACATAAAATATTTACGTTAAGTTTACATGAATCTTTTTCTATTTCTTTCTCTCATGTAAATTTAATACAAACTGGATAATATTCAGAAAAAAAGTAATAGTTAAGTAATAGTAATTTAAAATAGTTAATACACCTAACAAAAATTAGTATTAATAAATAAAAATGTAAGAGCAAGATATAAACTTCAATTCAATCTAATGCAACAAAGAATATAGGCTTCAATGATTCTTAGATTGTTTACATAGATGATACATAAAACATAGTTTACATACTCATAATTTTTGAGTTACAACCAGAAAATGAAAAGCCGAGCCTTAGTGGATAGGTAAGGTGATCACAGTATTCCAAGTTTAAAAAAAAAAACTTTAAATCTTATTCTGGGAAAAGAAAACAAAAAATATACTCCCAGAAGTTTTAAAGTTTATTTCTTTTATCTTCCTCTATCTTATAATGAAATAATTAAACTATAACACATGATATGCTAATAATAAATACAACTATAAAATTGAAGTTTCTTCAAAGTGTTTTGAGCACCTCACCCATCAACTTGCATATCTTTAAATCACTTTTACCTAATTAAAAAGATTAAAGAGATATTGATAAGCAATTGTTAATTAGTTATGCTTAATCGACATGGATACGTAATCTCGTTACAGGCAATGGGCAGGGCATGTTGCATCTTAGGATGTCCCTCGGGAGGAGATGCTCCATCTCATCAGATCCCCAAGAATCCAGCTCTCTTCCAGAAATGGAAAAGCCTGATTTACTCTGAGAAAATTCAACATATGACCGATGAGCAGATAAGCAAGTGTGCTGTGTGCTATCGGCATTTTGCTGACAATGACTATCTAGTAACCTTCCGAGTAAGAAAATTGAAACGTGGAGTTGCACCTTCCTTAAATTTGCCAAACAGACCAGATTCTAGTGTACCTGTTATAATTAAAGTAGAAACATCGCCTGCGAGTAGAGAAACATTTACTGCAAAAGAAAAGGTAACAGAAATTCCAAGAATAATAGAAGAATTAGAAACAACTCAAATTACATTATTCGAAGATATTTCGGAAGAAATTAAATCCTGCTCATTCGACCAGTCACAAATTTTATTAGATAAGAATATTGAGCAAATTAATTCAACGGCAGAAACATTTAAATTAAATCATAAAGAAAGGACGTCGAGAAAGAAACGAAAATTAACTACAAAACAATTGCATCTACTTCAATGTAAACAACAAGCCAAACAATATGAAAAAACACCTTCGATTCAAAAGCTGCTATCTTTTCTCACGCCTGCTGAAATAGCAACTATTAAAACTAGAATACGAAAAGCAAGATATGCCCCGAGAATATATGTAAGAATATATCACAACATTGCACAAAGGAAGGCTTTTAGTCACTTAAAGCTCGTAGAAGATTAGTAATTTATTGCAAGTCTTAAAATCAAGAATGCAAAATCAGGATGTGAAATTCATCTGCTTTAGAATATCATGAGAAGCAAATCTTAGCAAGTATGAATTTATCGCAATTATATTAACAACAAAGAATTAATTTCGCCATAATAATGAGGAGAATAATATTGTAAGTGCATATATTCTTATATTCAATATAATTATCCTTCATAGAGAGGGATAATTAACATAATTTATGTATTATTTTTTAATAAGGAAAATTCTAATTATGCTAAATATATATTATCCCTTAATACACACCTTTGGGTTACTCGTATCCTGTCCATTTCTTTTCTTTGATTTATATACAATATTATATACAATAATTGTATATAATAATTTATATAAATACAATTTATCATAGATACACCACTTTCTAAAGATATCAAAATATACGTAAAAATTGCTTAATAATTTTTATATATTTGTATGTAAAAGTGAAAATTAATCCAGGACACGAAAGACCTATCATGTGTAATAAAGGTGCGAAAAATTAAGGTGTGTACTAAGGATTATATACTGCAATATGTATATTTTTCTACATGCATAAGGTATTTAATTTTTATATTTTTTAGATGATAATAAAATATTCAATATTTTAATTATACTCTTATTGCACAGTAAAACTATAATTAACGAGTTCGGCAACTACATACAGATGGAAAAGATTCAAACGGGCATGTTGGGTGCAAAGTTTCAACATTATGTCGATACAACGGTAGTTTTACTGTATTTTTAAAAACGAATACATGAAATATACATTTATAATTATATGTATGTATAATTGGTAGAAGGATTGTATTATTCTCTGAATATAGACTTCTGAATTCTATCTTATCGCTAACGGTGTCGCAAAGAGTATCGTAGAACGTATTCTTTCTGAACACATAATCTTGACGGGGATTATTCGGTTGAGCACTTTACTCGCCGGTAACGAATACTTTTATTATGCGAGAGAATCTCTATACTGTTATCAATAGAGATTCGTCATTTAGGAAACGCGTCGATAAATATTGTTCTGTGCGTAACCGATTTCGGGGAGAGAAGTGAGAGTGGGAAACAGGAATAAATTCGATCGAATTAGTACAAATAATTAGTATACAGCAAAAGGTAGTCTCTTTAGGATCAGTTCATTCTATGCAAAGTGTTCCCGAGCATAACATACATCCATGTTTAACGAATTACGTTGAAAAATATTCTCGTTTAACATTTAATCTCTATACATCTTATCGATTTATTTTGGAGGTGCTGGATGTTTATATCCACGATTGGTATAAGGTACGGTGTTTTACTCTTTTTTTTTCTCTACGCTCACTAATTACGAAATTGCAATATAGAATGTGCTCGATTCTACGACTGATCCTAAAGAGTTCGTATTCGTCTTTCGTGATTAAAAGAAATACTTTTCCTTTAATCGCATAATTATTATCTACAGTTCTGGAGTGTCTCGATTTAAAATTTTCTTCGCATCATTGATTTTTTCCGTTGAATTTTTTTTAGTTTAAAATTTAAGAGACGTACTATAATAGATAATATTATTTTTGAGAGAAAATTTCTTACATTTTCAAATATTCGAAAATCGTTATTTTATAATAATTTGCCATCAGTTAATTTAAAATTGGAAATTTCAAAATCTGAAACGTGTTTTTTTCATCATCGATTCAATATAGTAAATATTTCGGAAACGGTCCACTCAAGTTCTTGTTAAAATTTTGTGTAAAATTTTTAACATATTCGAGTATTGATTTAATATAATCTGCAGATCACATGATTATGTAATTTAAATACTTTGTATTAAATTGATATCCAATATTTTTAGTATTAAAATAACATTTTAATACTAAATAAATAACATAAAAATAATGTATTTTAAAACGTAAATTCTAAGATGAATAAATAAAATATGTAAGGATATATTAATTTTTAACAAACAAAATATGTTACGATTTGTTATTTTTTAACATATCCTAAATATTTATTTTACTGAAAAAAAGTTTCTATGATTTATTTACAAACTGAGTCAGTATATTTCTTTTTTTTGTGCTTATTTTTTAAAATAATATATCTTTTAACATATTCATCTTGTGTTAAGTTAATATAAAAATTTGAGTGGACCATTTGAGACATGTGAAATATTAAATTTAGCACAAATTTTCCAAGATTGAATCAACATACTGAAGTTACATAATCACCGGCTCGCGTAGCGTCTTATAATTAAGTAAATAATAAACAGACGAGAGTTGTTTTGGTTCACAAGTACAAAAAAGATGAATCAAGAGAAGATATTAGGCCTGTTCTTTTTAGCTGAACTTTTTGCATTAGTCATCTTCCTCGTTTTTCCCAGTAGGGAGAAAAAGAGGAAAAAAGAATGGTACAAGTTCATTCTGAAAAGAATAAACCTTTAATCAACTTTGATAGATGAGAAGTCTATCTACCGTGGCAAAAGCGAGGTCATTCTTTGAAATCCATAAATGAGAATCGTATCTCCTGTACGAAATTTGTAAGAGAGGCATCCGAAGAGAAAGTGCAGAAACGAATGGAGCATCCATAAATGTACCATAACGGCGCGTTTATTCCGTGTTTAGGTCGTACTTTTTAGGCCTTGCGAAATGCGAGGGTTGATTTTCGTTTCCCTAAAATAGCACTTTGAATTACGTGCTTCTAAATATTCATCTGGACTGACTTAGCCGTTTATACAAACGATTCGACAAATAAACGCGCCTTTACACGGGAGTAGTTTAGTGATGCTCGTGATCGGTAGAATCGATCGGCTGCTCCTCTCGAAACGTGTGCGTTTGGACGAGCTACGAGTGCCGATCAACATCGGAGTGTTTACTAATTTGATTGTATGTCGCTGGCGCGATGTTGACCGACTCCATGCATTACGTATTCCCGGCAATGTGGAGCAAGACGAGTGGAACAGTCGAATCGAGAAATAGAAAATAGAATAGAATTAATATCGAAATGATTTATTAAAATTTAGAAACAAAAATGTGATCTAAAAGCTATCCTGATCGCGCAGATCAGAAAAAGAAAGATATCCCTATATCGATTCTCTATTTTCTTCAAATAAATTTTCTAAATTGTACACGAATCCGATTTAAATTATGCGACGTAAAAGTAATGATTACTTCAAGTGGAAAAAGTAACAGTTGTAAAATTCTTGTAAAATTAATAGTATATTTGATATAAATATGTAAAAATATATTTAAACATAAATAATAAATAATATAGCGTAAAATATTGTAATAAAAAAGTACGAAAAAAAGAAGGATATTCTATATTTTTATATAATATAATAGAAGGATATTCTATAATAGAAGGATTTTCTATTTTCTTCAAATAAATTTTCTAAATGTACGAATTCGATTTAAATTATGCGATTTAAATTATACGTAAAAGTATTGCGTTGTTAGAAAAAGTAACTTTGCAACTGTAGAATTATATAGTATATTTGATATAAATATATCATAGATAAATATATAATATATTTAAGTCATTCTGAATAAATATAATATAAAATATAATAAATATAAAATAAATACAAAATAAATACAAAATTATAATAATAAAAAAATATAGTCATCATTCGCGATCGATCATTTCTCCGATCGTCGCGTTCCGTTGAGACGCGAATAAAAGAGTTCCTCGTCCAAACGCGATTCTATCTAACAAAACGAAATGCGTGTCATGCATACATCTACCTCGATAATTCTTGATACGTGTAAATGATTGTCTGTGATTGTCCGCGATTGTACACGTAGAATAATCACATTTCAACATCTCTTCTCCGTTTTGTATGTCTATTTCAAAGTACGCGAAAGAACGGGATTGGTAGAGAAGGTGGAAAGGAGAAAAAGGGAGGCCTCGATGTCTCCTGATAACGCCTTACATTACTTTCTCCAAGTGTTTGTGTGTCGGGGTGTGCTTAACGTTAAGGACACTTAACTTTGTATAATCTTACGTCATTAGTTAGAATAATAATCACACATGAACAAATGCTTTTTTTTTTTCATTTTTTTTTCTTCTTTTTTTAAATTCTGGAATTGCAAAAAAACGGGAAACAGGGCATGTATCATGGAATTATTCAGAATGAATTTCGATCGGAATTATACTGTTTTCTTCTTAGGAAATACTCTGGTGACACAATTTATTGGCCCAATATTGGCTCATCCCAACGTTTAATTAATGTATTATTAATAAATTACTATTAGGGCACAATAAAGATCTAAGGGGAATAATTGAAAAATTTCGATCCGAATTCATTCCCAATAATTTCATAAAACTCGTATCACACTACGCATTGGAGATTGAGAATTGCAAATTGAAGATTAAAATTCAGCCAGTTAAAACGAAATGAAATTAAAAATATCATTTGACTGATTGAATTCTAATCTCTTATTAGCAAAAATTTTTAAGGCGATTCCTAGACTTAATATTATTGTACAATTTTGTACAATATTATTGCCTTTAAACAATTTAAAACAAACAGTCTGGAGGCTCAATATGGGATAACGGGGATATTCCGTCAGTTTCAACTTTAAAATAATATGAAAAAATTTACGACGGTATAAATCGATTATCTCTTTGCAGTGACATGCTTACAATTACATTATATGTACAATCATGATTGCTGCTTGAGAGCGCAAATACAACCTTTAGATATTCAATATGTTGTTGAAAAACATAAATATTATCGCGAGAAGAGCACGAAAAACTCTCTAGATGATTAGTAATCTTCAGTCTACAATATAGTGTGACACGGTTTTAATACGTGCCCAGGATCGATGTGAATTCGGCGCGAGTCCGATTTCTCGATCCCGCGATCCCGCGATTGCGAAGACGGGTGGAGGACCGGCGAATGTCGCTGTCGAGTGGATCAAACTTCCTTTCTTTAAAATGTTTGGTAGAATTGTGCATCGACCTCCAAGATGGATGTAATACGTAAACGATGACTATCTTTGTTTATTTTGTGCGACTGCGAGGCGACGCGACGAGACGCGCAACGAGACGTATAGTTGGGCGAAAATTTTTACAATTAGTGAAAATTTTCATCGCACGAATCTTCCACGAGGCATTCGTCGAAACTTGTCCGTATGTACTTTCGACTAGCATCCTTACCTGTCGAAATCGATGCACCCACGACGTGTCCGATGTTTGAAAAGCGATCGTCTCGATTTCCCGCGTATACGACCGTTATCGTACTTGTTTAACTACAACTTGAAGGTAGCAACGAAATACTAACCTATACACGTATACACATCGCACGCGCGTGCACGAAAAAAATTCCGAGACTCTTAGATTTAATATAGTGGTCTGTTTTCTGTTTCTGCACTCTTCTAGAACTCTCTTTCTTGCTTTACCAATATTAAACGTATATCTATCTCACTTTAAGTTCCCAAAGTGTACACTAGTTCAGCCATAGAAAACAGGGGGTCGATTCTGTATCTTCAAACAAGATGAAAATTACAAAAGCGAGCAAATTTACTAGGTGTTGACTAATGAAATAATCGGTATTCTAGTAAATTCGCTCACTTTTATCATTTTTACCTCATTTCAAGATACAGAATCGATCACCAGATCTTAGGCCTGTTCTTTTTGAATGAACTTTTGCACCAGTTCATCTTTATTCTTTTCTCTCCAGGAGGAAAGAACAGGAAGAAAGATGAACTGGTACAAAAGTTCAGTCAAAAAAACAGACCTTATTATTCTACAATTAAGGTGCAGCCAATTTTTACTTTTGCTAGATATTACTGATCATGTAAAGTCTACATAATCAGTAATATCTGGCAAAAATAAATATCGGAGCGTGAATCGAATGTAAGAGGAGACAAAAATGAAGTTTTTAAGGTCCAAAGTAAGTTACTTCAATCTCGGTTTAATTTACTCTTCAACTTTTATCAATTTTAAGAATTAGAAAAAGATAAACAATAAAGTTAAACCGAGATTAAAGTTAATCTTACATTGGAATTGAATCTAAGAGGCGAAAACTAAGACAACGAAATACAAAAGATGTATTTAATCTTCTTTTTTTATTTTGTTGTCTCAATTTTTGCTTTCTAAAAGCTTTATTTTCATTATTTTCCCTTTCCCATTCAATTTACTCTCCAATTTTTATTTTCACCAGGGAATATTGTGTATAAATATCAAATATTGTGTAATAATATTGATCGTCTAGGGGGGGGCCGCTTTACTGAATGTTTGCACTGGCTTACAGTTACACGAACGAAGAGCCATGCGAGTTTTCGCGAGCTCCCGAACTTGCTCTCTCCGCGACCAGGAGGATTTGTCGATTGTGGATTTTAAAAGGAGGTGAAAATTACAAAAATTACTAGCAAAGATTACTAGGTATTGACCAATTAAATTACGAATACTAGTGAATTTGCTCACTTTTGTAATGTTCACCTCATTTCAAGATACACAATTGATCACCAGATCTTAGGCCTGTTCTTTTTGAATGAACTTTTGCACCAGTTTCTCCAGGAGGAACGCAAAAAGTGAATTTTTATGTATGTATGTTCATACATATGTACAAAGAATTTTCACTTTTTTTCTAGGGAAAAAGTTACGTGATCGCTACTCAGTATCGTAATGCTTACGAGAAAGCGATAAACACAATATAAGTATATGTTTGTATTTTGCAATTGTGAGGCATGACTTAACATGCGCTTGAAAATCGAATTCCGCGAATCGTAAACATTTCCAACGCTCGAACGAGGACAATTCGTTGATCATCGTACTGTCGTCAATTGAGAAGCAGACTTTTAAAATGCATTTTGTCCAAAATTTCTTTTCTTTTCTTTTTTTTTTTAGAGATGACGTAGTGTTTAATGTTGAATGACTTATATATTATAAGCTACTCTGAGATATTTAAAAAGCATTTTTTCATCGTTAATTTATATGCTGAAAAAATATAGACATTTCAAAGTGCATTTTGTTTTTTTAACTAGAAACAAACAAAATGCATTTGTTTCACATTTTTAGCAATTGTTAAGCAATTTCGTTTAATATTTCACATCCTACTGATTAGCATGTTGTTATTTTCTATAGTGCGTAATTTTCTTGTGTGCGCAATTTCTTTCTTTCTCGTTTTCTGAAAATTATAAATTTTGAACAAAACGCATTTTGAAAGTCTCCTCAATTCGGTCGCGAGCTAGTAAGTTCTCATTGGCTTGAAGTAAAATGCTCAAGAAATACATCAAAGTCAACACAGGAAGTCAAAATGACATTATTTCAATTCATAATGATCAAACATTTTTTTGTATGACGAAAAATTAATGTCAGTAATATGATTGCTACTCAATGATGAAAAGATGACTTTATGCTGGTCTCATAAATTCAATTACGTGAAAGTTTTCTGTAATTGTGCAACAGTACGTATCACTTCTCACCATCCAACGTCTGTTGAGATAAAAGAGTTATTCTTTTTAACTGAACTTTTTGCACGGTTCATCTTTTCTCTTTTTCTCTCGAATGAAAAATGAACCGTGCAAAAATTTTAGCTAAAAAGAACAGACCTGTAATTTGTATCGTAAAATTTATTTACTGTTATAATTTTATGGACGTTTGAAATTAAATCTTGTAACAAAAATTCATCATTCAACTGATTTTTAGTTATGACGTCAGAATGAAATTTTGACTAAAATGTGTTTTTTGAATGACGGAACCGGAATAAGAAAGAGGAGTGCGTTAATTTGTAACTTTTTTTTAAGACAGAAACTTGAAAAATGAAATGTGTGTGTGCGTGTACATATATAAAACTTTTCACGTTTCTTCTGTAAAAAAAATGTTACATAATCGATACTTTCTACATGATCTTCGTTTTCTTTAGGTAAACGACATCTGCCTCCAGAGAAGTACAAAAAAGGATCAATTAATATACGGTTTTTGTTCCGTTCTCCATAGCTGAACTCTTCGCATGTTTCATCTCGTCCCTTCGTTTGTTCGTCGCATCGTCTCGTAAGTTCGCGTCAACTCGCATTTCTAGAAAGTGTAACAAAAGGCTACAAAGAGATACAATAGACTTTTGTTTGCATTCACCTTTGTTTTCGGTAGAACATGTTTTTGGTAGAACTTTGTTCTCGACGTAACGCGCAGTTGCGTGTTCAAGTTTTAACTCTGTTCGCTCAAGTGCATCTTTATTGAGTTTATTATCGTTCCGTTCCTTTGTACGTATGTAAGCCCACAAATACAATAGATGTAGTAAACCTAATTAAACCTATTGTGCAATTGCGTAAGCATAGTTGTAAATAGTTGTAGTTGCAAGAATTGATCAATCACAATAGAATATTCTCCTCATATTCGACTGTGATTGATTAATTGTTACAACTACAACCATCTACACTACTCACGCAGTTGTAGAATGGGCTTAAGAAATTGATCAATCACAGTTGAATATGAAAAAAATAATCGACTACGATTGGTCAATTCCTTAAGAAAAAATAGAGAACAGGAAGAGGATAAGAATTTCAATTGAAAATCGTATTCCACAGTGCATCGTTTCTGATTGGTTCAAATTCTTATTTCCTGTGTTCCCCGTTCCTTCACAGTTCCTTTGATTGTGTAGAGCTCCCGAGCGAGTTTATTCCGCATAGTATATCAAAGAATGCATTCTGTTTCACGTATAATCCTCATGATGTATTATTTTATCCTTGTTGTTCACACAGAATATTACCCTGCAAACGCAATAGAGCAGTAAGCTTTAAGGGGATCCTAAAGTGAATCCCAGGTAGCAAGCTATGTCATTTTGTCGTTATTTTGTCGTTAGCTTGCTACTAGGGATTTGTTTTTATCACATTTTTCCAACTGTCTTTACAGATTAAAAAATCTTTTTCCATAATTAAAGTATAAACGATAATGTAGTTTAAACCGGTCAACTTTATGCCAAAAACGAAAAAAGGTGGAAAATTATAATTTTTGTTACTGACTTTTAACATCGACTCGTAATGTTTGATTTACATACGAGTTTTATATTTCGTAAATATAAATTATAAAATAATCTTGGTTTGGACTAGAGATTACATAAACAATCAATGTTGAGAGTTACTTAGAATTAGATTTAGATGCTTAATACGAAAGATTAGTTAGTTAGAAAATTTGTACGTATGTATGAGTGCGATATTGATGTAATAATATATAAAGATATGTCGATGTGTTGCATTTTATCGGTAAAACAATGATTTCATCAGAATTCGGACTTCACTTTAGGATTCCCTTAAATCTCAAGGAAATTGGCCGATTATAGCTGATTATTCTTCTTATATTCGACTGATCAATTTCGATTGATCAATTTCTTAAGGCTTAAGGCTTACTCTATTATGTTTGCGGAATAAAGAGGGATGAAATGGTACATTAAGCAGCATCTACAATGGGATTTTAAGATGTGAAACTTAAGCGTAAGTCTTTTAAGCTGTAAAAAGTTGACTAATCATAGTCGTTTATTCTCCTCACACACGATTATAATTGGTAAATTTCTTACTGTTTAAAATTTACGCTTAAAATCTCATTATGGAGAATATTCACTGTACTATATGTGTGAAACACAACGCAAGTGGATGGACTGTGCCATTAAATATCAGATTACCGACTCTGCAAGGTTTGAAAACATAACTCGAATACCTTCGAATATCATATTAAATATCTTATTTAATATTCGGTGAACAACAGGGATAAAATAGGGCTACGTTCGCTTTGGCGCTCATGTTACTTGTGAGCATCAATTGTCTTTGTTTAATATTTAATAAGCAACAAAGATGACGCTTAAAGCGAACACAGTCAAAAAGTTTGTTCGCGTCGCATACTCCAACATGCTCCAACATGTTTCTACCATAGTTCCATAGTTTCTTCACTCTAACGAGCGCATTTGAGTGAATAGGAACTATGATTGGACGAAGTAGGAGCATGTTTAAGCATGGGAACAAACCTAAAAAGTAAAATGTACTCGAAGACACGGCACGCGGTCAATGTTTTCAAACATAGCTTATATCAACAATTCCAAAGCCTGCGGTACACGATGCTTGTCTCCCTGCTGGATTAGAATCTTGCACCGTATTGGCTGTCAGTGCCAGCATCACAGCCAATACGGTGCAAGATTCTAATCCAGCGGGGAAAGCATCGTGTGTCGCAGGCCTAATTACCGAGAGATGGCAGTCAGTCCGCGAAGTGATAATAGTCTGATACAGGCTTTAAGAAGTTTACAGCACTACCACTGTATTGTGTGTATCGGATGCATGTGTATTGTGTATATCATATTATTTCAATAAGTGATATATTTTTCAAGTTAGGATGAATCTCCCTCGTATGACTATCGCATATCAGCAATTTTGTTTTCCTGCAATGCATTGCTTCGTGAGCATACATAACAAGTAAGAATATTTTAAGAACAAAAAAAGGAGAGAGAAAGAGAGTATTTCCGAAATTCCAATCTCAAGTAAAGTACAGGTATCGTAAGAACATTATTGTGACTAGAGTAACTCTAATCACACATGACTTTATTTGTTACTTATAAGTTCACTTTTTAAGAAAATGCTCGAGTCATTTGCGTACCGCAACAAAGCATGCATTTCGTACTTTTCTATTTTCTTTGCTTTTTTTTATGTATAATAAAAAATATTCTCCAGAATAAAAGAAAACACGCAAATAATTACAGGAAAATGCAAACATGTATGAAAAATAAAAAAAAAATGTAAATTATAGTTTCCTGTTACCACGTGTTTATTTCTTCACATTGTATAAAGATTTTTCGCGTCGCATTCTCGAACATGTTTCTACCATTTGTTACTCACTCTAATGAGCACGTTTTGCGACGCGTTGAATAAGAGCATGCAACTCGAACAAATTTAAATGATTCCAAGTATATATCTAAACAAAAAGTATTTTCCTCATTATTTGAATAATTTCTAATAAAATAAAAATATATATAATGAGAAATTATGATTTTAAAGCTTACAATAGAAATGAATGGAAAAGTACGTTCTGAGTATACTTAATATCTTATGTTAATATTATACTTAATATGCGGTATGTAGGATGTAGAGCAAGAAATGTAGGTAATATTTTACTTAGAATTAAAGTCTGAAATTGTATTTTTTGCGTTTTTTGTTTCTTCCAAAGTTCGTTAACTTTTATCTCGGGCGACAGAAAACAGAGAAAACGGAATGAAAGACAAAATTAAGCTAAGATACAAAAAGCACATTGTAAAAGCTTGAGAATCCGTTTTATCGATATCGAGATCAAGTTCGTCGTTTCAACATTTCCTTAACCACGGATCTGCGATAGTGCCCGTATTCATAATCAGGCCTTATATTTAAGGCTTCCTTAAATTTATCTTCAGATGTGCTCTATGAATTATTTCATTGGCTACTGAGCATCTAAAGATAAATTTAAGGAACAAGTATCTTAAGTACAAGATTATGAATATACGGACATAGGTATTTTAAGCCTTAAGTCGTAAGAAATTGACTAATTACAGTCGAATTCGAGGAAAATAATCGACTATGATTCGTCCATTTCTTATGACTTAAGGCTTAGAACTCTATTGTAGATCCGGAGTAAATGGCAAATGACGTTATAATGACTTCCTGTAATATTCCTGTAATATTATAATGATTTAATTATGACTCTCATTCATAGGATGTTATCAGGATGACATCATCTAATACTTGAAAATGAACTAATTATAAGTGACGAATAAATTTATGAGAATGTTCTTATGATATATTATTGTGACTTCTGTGTTCTATTTGGATGGATCTACTTTATCTGGAAATTTTTTTGTATTTTTTTTTACATCGAGCATATCAGTTTATATCTGGAATATATAAAAGATGAAAAAATCGTAACGATATGTCCTGATATTTCTTCAAACATTTGTACTGAATATTTTGTTTCTCTGTTTCTCTTTCTCCATCAAAAAAAGTATGATTAATTAATTTAAACTTTAAGTTAAACTTTTTTTTGCAATTCGCGTTCTGCATGAGTTTTGGATTTATTTATTTATTTTTTTTTTTTTATTAATAAATTGCGGACATTCTTATCTTTCATTTAGCCTCATTTGATTGTTGAATTATGTCTTTAATAAATAATAATAATAAATTTATTAATAATAATAATAATAATAAATTTATTAGAATAAATTTGCGATTAATTCCCAGTCATTTCTGACTGGGTTAATAAATGATCTCGCGACTAAATCGTATCTTTTAAAATTTATTATTTTCTAAATCTTTCCACGCTATCGTTGGAACACAATCTTGTCGCTTGTTTACATTATCAAAATTTGATCCTCAGTAAGAACTTTTAGAAACGAATCTTTTAATATAATTCTATGAATTGTTAAATATATTCCATTCACTCTTTTCTCTGTTACGTCATTGATTGTATTGGGAAATATATTTTGTAGAGCAGGAAATGTATATTTCTTGAGTAGAAAATGTAATTTGTGCGCAGTCAATTACGTACGCGAACAGACGTATGAAATACATGGAACAATTCATCAGTCCTTTTATCGATATAATTATTTGCCCGCCAATTCAAACGACAATACCGCATCTTGCTCCGCGAGGAAACTCAAACGGTTGCACGTGATGCGTTTGCGTATATTTATGTCTGCTAGGAAGTGTGCGTCTGTATGCGTTACCCGTCTTCGCACAGCGACGTCGCCTGAGTTACAAAAGCTACCTTAAGATTTAGTGATTGTGTAGTGCGACAATTGACGACTGACGACGTGACGACTAGACACATGCCAGACGCATGTGACCGCTCACGCCGTTATTACGATATACATATTTATAGATTGTTACATAGACAAATATATATCGACGAGAAAAATATTCATTCTTTGTTCGTATGTGGCTAAGAGAGATGTATATATAGTATTTATATATGTATATTACTTTGTTTGCTTGTGAGATACGCGTGTACTTATTCTTACGACGTGCCTCCTTGATATACGAGATAAATCAGAAGTCGCGACTCTCCGAATATCTTCGTCGTTTGACTGTCGAAAATCGGAATGTTCTCGGATGTTCTCGAGCCGCTTTACAGCGAAACGATCGCTGATCCAGAGTAAGTGAAGTTCAAAATCGGACGGTCACATTGAGCGTTAAACGCGATTTTATTCTTAATTACTAATGACATAAAAAGGAAACGATAGCATGTAATAACTCGGATTATACTGATAGATATAATCGATATGAGGAAATAGGAAATAATCTCATTATTTTGATGCATTCGTGATCATCCATTCCAAGGAATCGGTCGACGTCTTCTGATGTACCCCGAGTGTTCACGTCCGTTGTACAAGAACTGCCAAATGATCTATCCCTGAACCCTTCGTCACCACTACGTGGTAACGAGAGTAATATTACCGAGATACACGCGGTGCGATTATTAGCCCGACTTGGGAGGGAAGAGGAGGGGTTTCCCCGGGCTAATTTGCGGCCATCAAATCGCGATCCTGTCAGCCGCGAAGAGTATATTGTGTGTATAACTATATGTATATGTAAGTATACTATATATGTATTAGGTCAGATTGTACACGCGTTAAGTCGGATCTGATGAGCGAGCGCGAATGAACGCGACCTAAGTAGAACAAGTCAACGATAATATCAAAAGGACATTAAAATGAATCCGTTATTGATTAAAAAGTAACTTTTAATAATCATTTTGATGTCACTTTGAACATTTTGCCACAAAACTGGAAATCAGGGAATTTTCAGGGAAATTGGAAATATGGACAAATCAGGAAAAAAATTAAGGAAAAGTGCCGGTGAATTTTGCAAAATTTTTTCGGCTTTAAAGAGGTTTAAATACGTACATATGTATGTAACTTTATCGACCCAACAATTAAAAATGCAAGCAATATCAGCAACATTAATAGTAATTTACGTTGCTACGTCAAATTGATCTCTCAACAAGATATTTAACAGTTTCCAAATTAAGATAAAAATGCAAAAAATATTAAATTATAATAATAATATTATTGTCAGGGGAATATTGAATAAGAAGTGTTTAATTTTACAGAAATATATTGTTTGTTTCTATTTCTTAAACTCTTAAAGATGTTTTAATTTTAAACTTTTTTCATAAACAAAACATATATAATTTATTACTTTCTTTCTTTCCTTCTAATTTAATTTAGGGGGGATTATTAGCGTTTCAGAAATGATTGTGTTGAAATCGAATGTTATCGGCTCGCAATTATATCTGGAATAATTGATTTAATAAACACATATAAAAAATAAGAGCATAAAAAACCACAGCACAAGTTATAGTTTGTGATATTTAATTATTATTACATTAATTAAAACATTAACTTATGCTGTGGTTTTTTATGCTCTTATTTTTTATATGTGTTAATATTAGAATCACGTTAGTTTCAAGATATATGATTTAATAAAAGAATATATAATGTATTAATTGTAACATCCAAATTTGATCAATCTTGGCGTTCTTTATCGTATTTGATGAAAATATTATGTGTTTGAATTTAAAATACATAGTGTTTTCAAGCCGAACACGTAATGTTTTGTTTACTGAAAAAGTTTAAAACTAAAACATCTTCAAGAGATTGTTCGTTGTTTCCACCTTTCGATAAATTTCAGCTCACTATCTCACTCTCTTACTCTTTTATATCCTTATATTCTTTTGTTTATCCAATAAATCACCTCTCGTAGTTTATCTAAAGATGGAACAACCGGCCATAAGTTTAAAAAATAGAGACGAAAACAAAACATTTTAATATTTTAAAATTAAACACTCCTTTTTTTCAGTGAAATCATGAAATTTTGTCTGAAAATCAAGGAAAAGTTATGAAATTTTAGGATAAGGAATTTGTGACGTCGTGATGACTTGTGTTCTACTTGGGGATTGTTGAGCATCTCGTCTCGACGATCGCAAACGGAAATACTCACCGAGGCCAGTCGCATGTTCGCATTTTCATTCGCATTCGCTCGGTCCAGATCTGGCCAGAATAATCCGCAGCGAGTGCCGCTTTCCATTTCTCTTCAAATCACGATCTATTCCTGGGGGACGTAGATCGAATCGTCAATTCCCGATAAGAGATCTTCGCGTCTTCTCGGGATCTCGAGGCCAATTAAGAAAGAATTATCGTCGCATCTTGTTGCACGGGGACGTATCCTTGGACGAGAGTCTCCTACGATTCATTATCACCTCCTCCTTGTTTTATTCTTTACGATTGACCGAGCGTGCAAGGAGATCGGTGTGCGTTCATTAGAGACTCCACAACCACCGTGATCTTGTCCGAGCTTCGTTCAGCGACAATCGTTGGCGCTTCACGCTTCGGGTTGTCTATTGAAGAATTGATACTGCAACACGGGAAAGAGGGAGTCGTCCTTTACGCTTCTCACCGTTTCTCAAGAGGTGTACGCGAGACGTTTGTTGCAACAATAAAGAGGAACCGCATTAACGATCGGTCTTGGAAAAGCGCGAATCTTGATGGGATTTCTTACAACGTACGTAGGAGAATCATTTAGAAAAGTTCCCAGGGATTTTTTTTATATGCAATATAATATCTCTGAATTTATATCCTCTTTGGCCATTGTAAAACCGAATTTTTCTCGAGAAGATATCCATCCTGTCTCTCGTGATATCCATGTTGGAAAAATAATTTAGTAACTTTAGAAAGAACGTTACTACATAATTTTTGTCGATATATCTGGGATAGTAGAGTATTAAACTTGATTTGTACCAGAAAAAGCACGGGATGTTCCTAGGAACAAAGCCCTTTTCGAAATTATCCTGTTTCATTATATCTCATCGCCAGCAGAGGACCGCTCCGATCAATATTTCGATATCGCGCCTTTGCGACGGTCTCTCCGAATTAATCGAGAACAAAGAGAAAGAGAGAGAAAGAGAGCGAGAGAGAGAATCTAATCTAAGGACAAGGTGCATGGGAAGTGATCAAATCGGAGAGAGAGAGCGGTAGGCGCGAACCGAGCTAAGGCTTAGTGAATATTCTTACACTGTAACGGAGGGTCAGTGGGAATGCTGTCCCGGTAGCTGGAGTGATGGAGAGAGTGTTGGTGGTGGTGGTGGTCCGTTCAGGTTCAGGCAGATGGGGGGTAGTTGTCTTACCATGCTGGAGCCAACCTGCTGCAGTAGTCCGAGTCCCTGCTGCGACGATGTCGAGGACACGGACGGCCGTCTCGAACCACGAATACTGTTCAAGCTTGAACTGAGCAGGTAGGGCACCCTGCGAACAGATCTCGATGTTATTCGGATGGCCCCACGCACAGAAAAATATTATTCTATCGCCTAAGAAAAATAGTTACTCAATTTACTTTCTTCTTTCTAAGTAACGGTTATCTTTAACAGAGAATATTTTCTTGATAATAATCTTAAAATATACTTCCTGGGAAAAAAATATTTTATATATTATAATTATATTTAATTAATTGTATATAAAACATTTTTTTTCCGAATTATTACAACTTTTAGAAAAAAAAAACTCATTAAACCTAAAAACAAGAATTTATTTTCTTTTGAAGAATATTTTAAAATTGATCGAGAAAACAACTACGTATAAGAAATAAATCGAATTTGTTTTAATTTACTATAATAATCTTGATCGAAGTATTACGCTAGAATTCGGAATATATTTCGAATAAATTTGAATAAATTTGTGAATATATATTAGGTGTTGGAATTAATTCGTAGCGTTTTTAATGAAAGAATGTTATTTATTTCACATGAGCATTAAAAAATACATTAATGAAAGTACTTCCCATCACTTGTAAAACGCTACGAATTAATTCCAACACCTAATAAATTTTTGAAATACTTATTAACAGGTAATTATTACTTGCATACAGTATATATTTTTCTTTGTGCACCTGTAATTCCTATAGCATAGAAGCTTGCAGCAACATTTTTGCAATTTTTCCATTAATACTACTGAAATAATTTGTGCTGTACGAATCGCTATCGAAATTACCCATCGCCAAAATTACGCATCGATTTATGCGCGAGAAGCAGAAGAGAGAGGAAAACAAATTTCTCGATCGTTAAAACTCATGATCGTTAAAACTTTCCGCGTAAATCTAATTTGCGATTCCGCCCGCCTATACTCTGTTAATATTCCGCGCATTAATACTCCGCACGGCGGATCAATTAACAACTCCGATTTATTTCTGCTTTACGCCGTCTGTATGATCAATAGGAGGGATTCGCTTTTATAGATGGCAGGTAGTTTTCCGATTGTTCCGAAGAATGTTAGTAGGTCATGCTAGTTTAAGTTTAACTTTAACGCGTTCCTGTGCTATTCAATTATTTAATATATTTAATTCTCTAAATAAAAAAAAAATACGTTAAAAATTCTCTATGAAAGGAGACTCGTTTCAGAATATCGGTTCTTTCGCGTTTCACGACCGCAGAGGCGATCGTTCTACATTATTCGTATCAATTTTAACATCATGTATTTCTTTTATATTTCTTTTTTTTTTCTTTTTTTTTTTTATTGTACGTCGCGTAGCGGCGACATCATTTTACGACGTGCAAATTATAGTAGGCGTGGAAGATATGTATGTATGTATATACCGTGGGCGGGGATAAATTAATATTGGACCCGCGTCGGTCCTGGGGACCCGTACTGGAGTGTCGACGGATCAGCGGGAGGCTGGTGCCTGGCGTCCCACCTGGCGAGCTCGCGCAGGACGGCGCTATCCGTATCTTCGGTGTCATCAGGGTGTTGTCCGACAGTCGTCTGTTGGTGAATGTATTGGCGACTCGCAGGAAATTACTGTCGTTGGCCGAGGGCGAGTTGAACCATCCGCCGAACATCGCTAAACAGTTACGTGTTACGTTCGGTTAAATCGATCTACAAACGTCTCGAGATACATCGCGTTTTTCTTTTTCTTCCACCAAGGAAAAATAAAATAAATATTTTATTACACGAAGGATCAGGAAATCGTCATCTTCACTTACCAGCCACTGAACTTTTCCGCGCCATATTTTCCGCGGATGCCGTTGATATGGATCCTGCATGCAGGGAGAAACGTCGTTTTAATATCCGTAAACTGGGATCGCTTAATTCCTTGGAGGACCGTTTTCCATAAATATTAAATAAGCTTAATGGAGCCATCCCCCTGTGCTTCTTCCAGGTGTCTTCGAGGACCTTATCTGTCACTCGAAGGAGTCGAAGTTTTTATTAAATAATCGCTCAGCCGGCTCAGCTTAGCTAATATTTATGGAAACCGTCCACCAGAGTGCTATTTCGCTGTGGAAGAAAAGTGTCGTAACCCTTTTAACTGTTATGGATGTGTTGAAAAGGAAACATTAGACCTCATTACAAATTAATCCAAGACAACGAGAAAGTTTGAAAAAATTCAGTCCCTTGACACAAAGAATATCACATTGCTCAAAGGATGTTGGAACAGACACCAGAGTCTAATATTTCTGTCAATGTTCGCACCAATGCTATTCTTTCTGGCCATGTCCTCGGCCGACGAGGTCTTGCGTTGCTCGATGCGCAAATTGGGAATGTTAAACGCCGGCACGTGTACGTTGTCGGTGCTATATTGGTGTCGCAAGGGTCGAGACTTGTCGGGACTCGGTAAAGAGAGATTGTCGAGCGTCAGTTTGTTCCTCTGATTTCTGCAATTTAAAAAAAAATAAAGGAGAGCTCGCGCGTGAGCGTTATGAAAATTCCGAAGATGCTTTTGAAAATTATGAAGATGCCTATATCGATCGATAGTTGCGCAATATTAATTAATTAGCAACCGCAATATTCGTTAATTGTATGGAGTGCTCCATGTTGCAATCGCGTTAAGTGACGTAAATAAGATCTTTTGAACGGTCGAAACAACGATAAAAAGAATTATCGGAAACAAGAATTAATTATGATATAAAAGACTAGATATTCTTTTCTATAAATTTTACATTGAGTTACTTCCGAATGGATATATGCAAACAGTCATTAATATTTTATGAGTTGGAAAATTCTTTAATGATTTTATGTACCATTTACCGCATATAATTATTCATTTATTTTCACAACGATTATTAATTATGAGCCGCTAGGGAATCATTATTCTGCACTCCTGTTTACCGAATATATATATATATATATATATATATATATATATCCATACGATCTTAACTCTAATTGAAACTTGCCTCTCAATGTTATTCAGCATATCCTGCAGTACCTCAAGGAGCAATATGAATTGCTCGAGATTCAGCTTCGGATTCACGGTTTGCGGTAATAGAGAAGGCATTGCATGCGTCGCAATCCAATTCACTGATAACCCATATTTCTTATCGGTCAACATCACCCTGTAAATATCTGAAATACGCGAAAGAAACGAGAATGATTAAATGCGTGTCTAGTAATGACCGTTTCTTCCTTTTTAAAATGAATATCTACATTATCTATCCCTATGGGATATTATAACCCTGCGTATTTTTCCTTTTTCTGTCTTATTTTTTATTTTTCTGTCTCGAATCATATTACATTATGTATTAAAACGGTCTCTAGCTGATATCTATCCTCTTACTGACAGCCAATAAGAATATTGGTACTAAAAAGTTTTTGAGATTATTGTAGTTGAACATTTTATGTTACAATCTACAGGTGAATATATTGAAATATATTCGAAAAGAACGATTTTACCGAGGTAACTAAAAATTGAGCTAGATAGAGATCTAAAAATAATTTTGCTGGACCATCAAAATAATTATTAAAACTCTTAAACGTTGATGATAATACTGGTAAAACTTTGACATTTTAAGAATAATTTAAGCATCCTGCTTAACTTATTTTGATAGGTCAAATAAAATTATTTTTAGCGTATCTAAAATTAAATTTTTAATTAATCGACTGAAGGGCATGTGTCACAACGTTAGTTTTTTATTAGCGAGATAAAATTTCTTTATTTAGAATATATAAATATAATACAAGTGAATGAAATTTTTTAATACTTCAGCAAACTGTTCTTTCCACGTAGAAAGTTTTTTTAATTGCTTGTCTCAACAGATAAAAATAGAAAGATAAAATCGCATTTTGAAACATCTTCTAAGTGCTTTGATTTAATTCAAGTGCTTTAATTTAATTTTGCTGTTCAGTTTAGTTTTTATTTCAATTATAGTGAAAATTTAATATTATTATAGGTAATATAATTTAATATGATTATAGTTAACATTGTTTAGCTGGTAAAGCAACAATCGATCGTCGGGGTATGACTTCTATATTAAACGCCCGCGTAAATCCACGTGTATTCGCCTTTACTTTCACTTACTTACAACCCGCACGACGATCTCGGGTTCTTGCAGCTTGATTTTACAGAGCAGCGGAAGAATGCAATCGATGATCTTCTGCTTCTCAAGGCGACTTAGGATGCATGGAACCACATCCATGAGTACCCGAGCATTCGTCAAATTATTTTCGAAGGCGTCTAGTAGTTTCGGCAGCACCACATTACGTATAGCGTCATCTTCGAGATAATTCGTCACGTGTGCCACGGCCACGAACGCGGCCGTCTGATAAACGAATGAATTGTTGATGCGACAAAATTTTTCGATGACTTTGCATATTTATGTGATCTTGCATATTCATGAACTGTTATCGTTCAGATATACGTAGATCAAGAATATTGTCACTACGAAAATTCTGAATACCGCAAAAAAGTGTCAATGAATTAAAATAGAATTTACAAGAGATGTATATCAAATTAAGAATACATATCAAAAATTTGAAGACAATCATTAAAAAGAAAGGTTAATGAGAACCGAATCTCGATGCGTAAAATAAATGAATTAAAAATGTTCCGGTTTTCTCTTCTTCACTTGCTCGTTATCTTGGAATTCATAGTTTATTCAGTTTACCAACCGGCTGTGATTGACATTAATTCAATTTTAAAGATCGATCCAAGATCGATCTCGATTGAGAGCGTAAATTTAATTTTTATATGTAAAATGCTCGAACTTATCGAAATTTTCAAATTTATGTATCTTTATAAATACTTATGATTAATTTATTTTACGTACCGAGATCTGCGTTTAGCTCTCTTTTTAATTATTATTGTATTTTTTTAAATTTAAGAATCCTATTAATCCTTTGCTAAAAATTAGATTCACTAAGACAGTAAGATATTCGAAAAATGTAAATATAATTTTCCAAACATTAGAGTTTGGTTCCTGCAATTATTGGATCGCTATTTATTTCATGAATATTGAAATCACAGTAGTGTTTTCCTTTTTCCCTGAGTTTACTCACCCGCACTTGAATGGTCGAATTTTCAAAGGACGTGTACAGCGTCGAGAGCACCTCGTGTTCGTATTCCTGGGGCGTCTTCTCCAGGATGATGTGCAGATTTTCCAGTAGGGTGACGGTTCCCTGAATCGACTTTCGATTGGCGAAGAGAGGTCTGCGGGAGCGAAGGAAAGAGAAAGAGAGAGAGAGAGAGAGAGAAACGGAAGAGAGGGTGAGATGAGACGTGCCTATTTCGCGCGGTCTCGCGCTCATTTCCGTTCTCGTTCTGTATGTAATACGTACTTAAGCGTGGGAAACACAATCCGTTCGTATTCCTCCTTCGTGCTGTTCTGGACAATGTACAGCATGGGCTGCAGCACGGCCGACAGCACTTCCTGCGTCTGCAGCTCCGCGTGAAGATACGTCCAGATATGCTGATACCAGAGTTTCTGCACAAAACGGAGAACGTTTGTGTGATACGCGACATTTCGCGGAAGCATACGGGCACGTACGATTAAATGAATTGGAATTTCGATCACAGTGTAAACAATCTATAGCATATTGTAAAATAATGCTAAACATGTTAACCTCTTCAGATATCGTAATGTACATCAATTCGAAGACATTGTCCGTTGAAGTTATTCAATTCTACCGATGATCATCTGACATCAGATTTACATAATAATGCATACGTCAAAATTTGAAAAAAAAATTGATTTGTATGAATGATACTTATCAAAATGTTCCTGAATTGAATTTAAAAGAAATTCTTTTAACATGGTTCCAATAAAATCAGATCCAAAAGTGTTAAAAAAAGGAAGTCATTGCATTATTCTGTCGAAGATCTCATTTGCTCCACTAAACGTTTTAACATTTCTTCTTCACGTCTCTATAATAATCTATCGGAAATCTATTGGATTCGCTCGGAATTACGGAAAGGATGTTTCTCGGTGCATTAAAATGCAGAAAATGAAGTGAGGGAAAGAAATGCTGTGAGGGATTATAGTAGAATAATTAGCAAAAAGCGGATTACCATTATTATAAAATGAGAAGAATTGTAAGGCATCTTCGATAAGCATCTCAAAGGGATATACATACATTATGATTTATATCAAGATTCAAACTAGCTTTTAGATAGCCGATTCTTCGTTCCAATTCTTCGCAATTCTAATTCACTCCAAGTCCATCCTGAATATACATATAACGTCATGACATTCGCGTGTACCTTTGGCATATACGGCAGAAGTTCTCTCAAAGTCGTCGTGTAAAAGTGCTCCTTCTGATGCACGTCCTTCATCTTGCTGACGTCGAGAAATTGCAGAGCGTGTACGAATGGATCTTGAAAGAACTTGATCATGGTCAAAACTTGCGCAGTTGGTCTCTGCTTGGGGTCCTTGTGCAAAAGTCGCGTCACAGCTTCCCGAAGTGGTATCGGTATCAGTGGCAAAAGAACGGCAACTTGATCGTCAAGCTAGTATAGAAAGCGTAGTATAGACAATCTAACGACTCTTTTCAGCATTACTTTTTTACTTTTCTCTTTTACTTTTCGATCAAACGTTCGGCGGAATTGCGATCGAAGTGCCATTTACATAATGAAAAAAGAACAGTTTTGCTAAAGCATCTCATAAAAATTCAGAGATACGGATCATCAAAATAAAGAACGTTTTAAACTGATTGCTAGAATATTAAAACTTTTTGCAGCATTGCCATCATCCAAGAAACTCTTTATTTCGATTCTTAAACATTCAAATTTTGTAAAAAAAAAACAAAATCACCACCATTTTAACTTTCATGACGTCAGAAAATAAAGTTATTTTGACTTTCTCTTAACTTGGTGTATTAACTTAAGTAACGTTTAAGCATATCCTATATAATTATTTTATGAACGAACAAGATTATTTTCAGATCTGTATCTAGCTCAATTTTTGATACTTCAGCAAAAGTTCTTTCCGTGAACTTACAACTTGAGGAAGCACAACTGAAAGGAACAAAGTTTATTTACGACGATCAGAGCGATGAGAAGACGAAGAGAGATTCCGTGTCTCTCGAGAGTTAAATACTTTTAAAGATCATCCTATGATTTCTTCGCATGCTTTCGAAGGGAATATCGTCTCGCCTGCGTCTCGCGAACGGATTAACTTACGGTCTCGAGTTGCTTGAGATAATCCGAGCAGCTGTGATTTGCCTGTATCAGTGGCCGGCCCTGATTGTAAATCGCGCATATCGTCATCCCTAGGCTGTACATGTCGCTGGAGAAGCTCCCGAGCTTTTTCTGCTGTACCTCTGGTGCTGTAACATGTAGCGCGGCCGCGTTACAAATCCTCTTCTCGACGAGGTGCGAGAGGGATCATCAACAATGCAAATAGGAAATCGTATCGCATCGCCACGTGCGGAAAGCTATCCCAGTATAATTTTCGGAGAGCTTGCTGTGGCTCGATTGAAGCTGCCGGATAGAAAGCAGCAGCCCGTTTTATCGCTAAAGTTCGGAGTTAATGAAGTTTCTTGCATAAATCCGATCCCGTTGACGCTACCGAATTTATTTTCTTTTTTCCTTGCACGTGTAAGCAAGTCTATTTTTTTAACGTGTAGAACAAACTCATTTTACATTTTACATTTGATCGGAGTTTATCGAATGTTTTTGATTATAAAACAGAGTTCACGTTGTGTTATTGTGACGACTGTATAATTAGATTTCTATTTTCGTTGCACGTTTAATGTTAAATATGAAATTGCTTTATGTAATCGAGAATCGTAAAGGAAATACGAGATGAAAAACAAACCGGGTTAAATATTAATAAATGTATGCTCAAAATACAGATTTACATCTTTCGATTGTACAGAGAGATTGATTTGCTTATTTCTATCACACTAAAGAGATTCTCTAAATATATTTATACAAAATGTCCGTCTGTATTAATAGAAAAACCATTTCTATTTATAGACTGAGAGCTGCTACTTTTCATACGAGAGATCGAGAACGCACTTAACGTGTTAAACGTTAAGGAAAGATAAATCTGATTTTTATGAAATTTGTAAGGCTCGTAAAACACGTAGCAGATACTAAAAGCAGCTTTCCCAGCGTGGGTGTGCGTTAACGACAACCTTTACGATGTCTCACCTATGTAATCGAGATTCGGCTGAGTCATTTTCGGCATGTGCTTCGTCCATGACTGCACGGTTATCGGTATTTCCTTGGCACCCTCTAACAAGCGAAATATATTCTGACTAAAAACTGCAGCGTAAAAAGGTCGCGCATCTGTCTTTTTTAGCCCTCGATATCACGTCTAACCGATACGTCATTTACCTTTCATCGATTTTATTTCTACTGTATAATGTATTGGTACACCAAGCCGCAATGTGCACGAGGAAATAATTTCAAGATTTAATGACTCCTAGTCCTTCAAATTTGCTAATATAATTTTTGTTATTATATATTCATTTATTGATGAATTATACTTCATCGTATTTGCCTTTCGATAATTTGATGAAAGATAATGTTTTAATTGATAAAAAGTGGCTGATACTTACTAAAAATGGATAAACTTCGATTAGTGTTTTTATCCTTAGTACGAAGGATGACGAGATTAGACTCACCGATAAACTCGAACCCCGATAACTTCCACGTGCCTCTTTTTGTGATAATGATGCTCGTCGGGCAAACATTTCTATGGAGAAATTTACAGTTGCCATGAAGAAATAATAGGGCTTCCGTGATCTGCAAAATATAAGCAATAAAAAATTCATGAATCCGACTATCTGGACCAAACTCTCGCTTTTTCATTCCAATATTATTTTTAATAACGTCTCATATACTTTTCGATGTTATTCCTTTAATTGTTATGCTTCAAATAATTTTTAAAAGTAAAAAGTAAAAAGTAAATAGTCTAATAATTAGCCCTTTTCACTTTTTTTTACATTTCGAATTTCTATTTGTTTTCTCTTTAACGGCTCGAATAGATATAGAATTATATGAATTTCTCTTCGTGAAAGATATAATTGCAAATTCGAATCATTAAACTGAGTTACCGAACGCGATCGCTGTTAGACAGCGGCACAAGTCTAACTCGTGGTTTGAGAGGGTTGACGGCATTAGACATTCTATTACGCCCCTTCGTAATACATTCTATTATGTGAACTACTTCGCCGCGCTGTGATGGAGTTGATTTCGCATGGTTACAACCGGGAATTCGTTTTTGAGAAAATTCACTTTGACCACCCTCTCTCTCTCTCTCTCTCCCTTCCTCTCTCTCTTTCTCTCTCTCTCTCTCTCCCTTTCACCATCCCTTTCGTTGTTGCACGCATGCGCTCGGATTCGACTTAATTTTCTGCAACCCCGTTATCACATCTACGCGCTACGATTCCGTGCTTACGCACAATGTCACGGTCATACATGCGTACTCGTACATCGAAATTGCCTCTCCTCTATTTGCTATTATATAGGTATCGCCTATACCTAATTTCGTGCTGCAACGTTACACGCTGCAGCGTTACAACGTAATAACACAAGGGTGTAGTTTTTATGGAAACCTTCGATCGCGTGTCTATTTGAGAAAGAAGAGATGGAGAGAGTATGTAGAAAAAAGCACAATGGCGATATTGTAATAACACGAGTGTAAGCGCTTAAAAACACATCACTTTGTCCCTCTTCTCTCCGTACTCGTGTTTTATATGACTTAACTGCTAATGGACGAACTCCATTATCGGTGTCCCGGATTTGAGGTCGCAAAGTCCGCGAGAGTAGGTACGTAGACAAACAAGAGAGGTTTCCGGAAATCGAGGTATACGTAGCAAAGAAGAAAGTAACAATTATCTTTTTTCACGTTAATCATCGTGTCCCAAACGATTCACTGAAATTTTTGTATTAATTTAATATACAAGAGGAATATTTTAGAAAGTAATACAAACGTTACGTAAAAAAAAATTAATATAAAAATGTAGCACTAATACAAGTTTGCTTTGTAAGCAAACTATGGAAGCATATTTGTTTAAAAAAAATTAACACGTATCTATTTTATTTATTCATTTTAGAGTTTACGTTTTAAAGCACATTGTTCTTATGTTATTCGTTCACTTGTTCATAAATTATTTTGACACTATAAAGTGTTGAATATCAATTTAACAAACTATTTACATAACATAATTGCATAATGTTAAATTCATTACTCGAATTTATTAAAACGTCAATATAAAGTTTTAAACTTGTCAAAAACTTGTATGAGTGAACCGATTTTTTAACACAAATAAAAAATATCTTTTACTATGCTGAGTCTTGTTAAATATTTTTCGCAAAATTTTCGTCGTGGCACGTATTTGAATTTTGTAATTTTTCACACAGATAAATTTTCATTCTCACAGAGAGATGAAAAATTATTAAATCTTTTCAAAGCCCAATTAGGGAATCTATTGCCCCCAGAAATGTATTGTCGGTGGTCCCTCTTTTGTCCTCGACATCGCGCTCTCTTACCTGTAGAAGCCCGTACTTGACCTCCAATTCGAGCAGCTCATACTCCTTGACAAAGGTCGAACGGTGGCTGGTGGTCGGCGGGTGGTTCTGCTTGCCCATCGGCCCCGAGGATTGCGCCGCGAGCGTATTTGCCAACTGCTCCTTGTACGCCAGGACATTCGCTAAGCTGGCGAGGACCGGCTCCGACGCGAAGGCCAACGTGTCCGCGCACTCCTCCACTTTGTACGCCTACATCGCCGGTCAAATATAGCGCGTGATCGATCTACGGAGTGGCTCGCGAAAACGCTCGAATTGCGATATAATGCGCATTGATCGAAATATCTCGAGTGAATTCACGTGCCGCGAATACCTTGCGTATGCACGTACCTGAAGAAGCTTCGGATGCGAGTACCGCTCCATTTGAGCAGCTCCCGCTCGTAGAATGTCCGTGACCGTTTCTCGGCGTTTCGGCTTGTGCAGCTTCTCCACGGATCGTTTGTCAAACAGAAAGATCGAGACCTCCTGCGAGCGAACAAATACTTGCGTTTATCTTCTATCCGCTATCGTCGCGCTCTACGAATCGTAAACTTGGAATTCAAACACGAGACTCTCTTGCATTGAGAGAAAGAAATGATTGCGATTACCATAATTTAAATGTAATTTATAGTTATCTTTTAGAATAATATATTTATAGTTAGCCAAGCAAATATAGTCAATTTTTTTTTAATGTATCTTTTATTATATTATCTCATGTCATAGTGAATGTTAAAAAAGCGAATGTTAAAAAAGAATTGTATTTATTATAATTGCAATTTACTATAATTGCATTTACTAAAAAAAAACATTTATTTTGTTTATTATTTATAACTTGATTGTATTAATATATTTTAATATATTAATATTGAAATTGTTATAAATTACAGTATAATTTTTTCATATTTGAGAGAACATTATACATATAAGATTATTATTATTATACTAGCATTACAGCAATATTAATCATACAAATGAAATTACTAACCATAATTATTTTACCATGCAATTATAATCTCAAATATTAAACACTTTTCTCTCAATGCAACCCAAATACAAAAGGAGATTTTGCTGAAATATCTAAAAATTTAATTAGATACCCGCGCAGATCTGAAAATATTTTCTGAAAAAATTTCCTTGAATTATCAAAGTAATTATGTAGGAAACTTAATGAGTGATGCTGTAAAAAATTTGATATTCTAACAGCTTGAATGTTCTACATATATATATATTTTGGTTGGATGGTCTAAAAAGTTAATGCTTTCGGGGCTTTCGCGGATATTTTTTACATAGAAGTTGCATTTCGCGAAATATCTCCGTATTCAGATCTATTATTAGAGTACCAATGTTTCGTGAATATTGCAGCATAATTCATCAAGGAAGAACAGCCTAATACTGACTTGCTTCAAAGTTCAAAATAATAAATTATTTTTTCAGATCTCTATCTAGTTAAATTTTTAGATACTTCTTCTATAAAGCTATTCTTTCCATGCATTTACGTATCAGATAGATTCAAGATCGAATGAATTATATCTCATTCTCGCATTTGAATCCCTCCAAAAGTGACTTTCCAAATCCGATCAATTCAAATCTAATCCGCGATTCGATCATCTCTCTTTTTATTTTACTATCCGGATATCGTTAAAGTCGCACCGTTAAAAAAATAGGAAACTAAATTACGACGGTTAAAGTCAATCGATGTCGATAGGAATCGTTGAATCATCCATCGATATCCCAAGTAATCTTTTTGACGTCAATAGCTAGTCATTTTAAATTATTGATCTTACGTTACTTTTTATTTAAGATGTAAGAATGACGTCATCTTTTTAAAATAATGACGTCATTTATTTACCCATTCGAGGGCTGTGTTCCAAATTTATTACCAGTGTTGAAAATTTATATGCGATTTACGTGCATTATATTATAGATTTTCAGTACTGGCAATTAATTTCGAAATACAACCTACGAGGTATTTACAACGTCATACTTATTAACGTCGGACCAATTGACGATGTACTAGTGACATTATTACTGATCAATTAATAATTGTTATTTATTTATGCCATTAATAACATGAAAATAACGTCAGTTTGTATGATGTTATATAGTTATAAGAAATCCACGTCATTTTTATGATGATTAAACGTCAGATTCATCATTAATTAGTCATCCTTCACATAAAAATGCCTAATTAATGATGTCAAATAGACACCTTACTATCTGAGATCGTTTTGACGTTAAGAAAATAGAAAAAACATAAGCAATAAGAATCTTATTTTAGGTGCAAGAATTTATTTGATTTAAACATTATTTCTTTAAATCAAATAAAATTTATTTGATTTAAAGAAATTATGTTCAAATCAAATAAATTTTCTTTGGTTTAAAAAAATAATGTTTAAATCAAAGAAGTGACGTTCGCAAATGAAAGAAATTTTTTTAATTTTTTAACCGTCTAGCGAAGAAACATTTCTTTAAATCGAAGAAACCTGGGTGTATGCTGTAGTCAAAGTTGGATCTTCAAATGCTTAAATAATTCAGTGTGAAGTGTATATATATATGTATATACATATTCTATATGTGTATACATATTCTAAAAAGCATGAGCAAACGGCTCGTAAGGAAGCCATATAAGGGTCAACAAAAAATCAAAATATCTTTATAATCAAATGTCAATAAACGTCATCATTTTGACTTTCAAGACGTCGAAGTATAAAGTCATTTTGACTTTCTCTTGACTTGTATCCCTTGGGGGAGTTTTCCCGCGAACAAATTACCATCCTGTCCTTTTTCCGATAGCCATCGTATATGCGCCAGACGTTCTCCGGTCCGGCTGTGGCGGACTGCTTGCCGATCTCGTATGTGTTGCGTATCGGATCGGGAAGCAAGTCGCACGGCGTCGTGCTGCTGCCTCTGGATTTTGCGAACATGCTGAATCAGCCAGCCAGAGGCTTCGGTGAATCAGCGTCGACCTCGCCCGTTTATTATCTGCCAAATCGAAATCATGTCGACCGCGTTATTTTGTCGCTTTAGAGAAGAGGGGGTTGGACGAGGGGGGGAGGATGGCGAAATATCGGTGTAACATCGGGAGAGCAATCTCTATGGTCGTTCGTGATGATAGGTACAATGATGGTATTTCCTATAGTGAGGTTTTTCCTGTATCTGTGACACGCGAAATCGGATTCATGAAAATTACATTGATTTTAAACATCACTTTTATCGCAGCCTTTGTTACGCGGGAATTTTTGTAAATTGGCGCGACCAGGCGAAAAATAGACGAAACGAGAGGATTTCACTCCGCGAAATTGTGAATCTCCAATATATATTCGCGAGAGAAGGAATTCAAATAAATTCCATTTTGTTCTTTCCTTTCTATTCCTATATCTGTACCCGTATTGTTTTTTCAATAGACATTCACGAAAATTACAATAAATTTTACGGAAAATTCAGAAATTACAGGGATTAGTGGTGAATTTAAATAAATTGAGAGAGAGAGAGAGAAGAGATAGGAATATCGTAATTGATATTGTAATCATGTTACGACAAATTTTTGTAATTTTTAAATCGAATTTTATATAATTATATCTGTTCGTATAAAATTATTTTGTTTTTATGTTGAAATAAATGAAAAACATTAAAAGAGATTTTTAAATTATTAAGTGCTGAATGAAACAAATATGTTGCACGTTCAATTTATACAGTACAATTTATTAGTAATACAAGAGCATAACGAATACGGAAATTTTATAAATAATTCCCGAGTTCAATACTGAATATTTAATTTTGTAAAACTGAAGTCTTCTAATACCCTTTAATTAATTTTATTTTTGATACAGTATAAATAATAGTTTCATTCGTATTCCATTTCATAAAAACTAAATTTCTTTTTTATTTTATATTTTTAAAAGACACTGTGTGTGATCCGCAATTGATCTCTTTTTCTTTGTGAAGATTTAATTTGAAGTCCCTGCGCCTCGTGATTAATTAAATTTTTTATCCGCGCTTTGTATGAAATGTCCAAATACGAAATTCTTTCTCAATTGGGGATTGAGTCTGTCTGAAGGGATTGAGTCTGTCCGATCGTTATCATCAGCAACTTTTTAATTATCGACACTGAAAGTTAAAATTGAGCGGGAATGAGGTTTCGTTGCTCATTTGCAGCGGCTTAATTTGGAAAAAGCGTTTTCATCCCGGTATGTTAAATAATCCTGTAAATATTGAACCTGATGTCGATTCGCTGTAATATAACTAGAATATATAATTAAACTAACTATTTACAGTCGCTGTGTTCAACCACAGGTTGAACATTCGTATGAGGAGACCTCGAGAAACAGAGCAAATGATATTTTTGCGAAGGGAAAGCCCTTCGAATGTTCTTTTTTATATTTGACGTGTTGTGAATAGAAGAAACGAAATCGTGTTCATAAACGTGTATAATACAAAATGAGCGCTTTACATATGTATAAATGAATTCCTTTTAAAAGTATAATTGAATAGAGAGGGATGAGAGAGAGAGAGAGAGAGAGAGAGGGAGAATGAGAAAGAAAAAAAGATACGAGGGTCCTTTATCAATTTAAATTTATATTAATTGTCCACGTTTTGTCTACGTAATGGTCGACCTTTAAAAATAAATTCTTTTTAAAAACAAAATTCATGGAATACTTTGTTTCTCTCTGTAAAATTTATATTTTTGCTATTTGAAACGTATTACGAGCGAACAGTTTCGCATTTCGCGAGCGAAAGAGACTCGAGTCATTTTTCGCATAACTTCTATGGTCGGATGACAGGAATAGAGATCATTTTTGTGTGCTCAATACAAAAATACGAGCTCTCTGAAATACTTTTTTCCGGATACTCAACTGACGTTGAGTACAATGCGCGATTGACGCGAATCGCCGTTAATTATTATTTAGTTTGTTAGGGAATTCTCGCGAGTGCACATTTATTGTTAGCTGTCCAGCTCTTTGCACACGTACATCTTATACACAAATACGTCTTCATTTGTTAAAAGGTAGTCATTAATGCATCAATAACGATAATATTCATCTTTCTAACAGCATATATAAAAGTCGCGATTGAAAAAAGAAAGAGCTAAAAAGGAGAACGCAAAAGAGTGAAAGAGTTAGAGCGAAAGAGAGAAACCTTCTATTTCTCATTCCTCAAGCCTTTTCTCCTTTCTCGGAGGACTTCCCATGCAGGAAATATGAATCCTGATAGAGAGGCGTCCTTCGCTAAAAGGCCGCGTTCGTTTCCTTCCTTCCTCCCGTCAGCCACCTGTCCGTTTCGTGAAGAGGAGACGCTCCTCTATCTCGCCCACGTTCTCCCGTAGAATTAATACCGTTCCGTGAAATTCTAATCGCCATAAGTTCTCATTGGATTGACGTTAACGGGCGTTATCCGCTCCAGTAAATCGATATTAGCGCACGAGCTGTTAGCGTTAGCAGCTTACGAGCGCAACCCCTCTAACATTATATCCTCGATTTTCGGCTCGATACCCCATGGCGATGTTATCCTGCCGGATTACCCGGTGACCCCGATCCTGCTCCATATTATTCCCGTCCATAATTTTTTTCTCGCGCGCCGCCTTCGTCGCGCCTTCTCCCGCGCAAAAGCGAGTGGGAAATTGCCTGCTAGAGTGCAAGAAGTTGGATACAATACTCAACAGAAAAAAGTGCGTCCTGATGGAGAGACGCAGTTTGTCGGGACTAACTCAACTCACCCCGTGAAATCGCGAGGCCGAGAGTAGAGTAATTCATGGAGCCGAGAGAGACTCTTGGAGGCGAGAGCCCGAGAGGGTAGTAGATCGTTGAACGCGGCATTCTTCACGCATTCACGCGTACATCACCCGTATGTACGCACGCAGGAAGAAAACGAACGAAAGACAGCGTATAGATCGTGCGAACGGTTAGACCGACCGGGAGCGCGAGAGTGTGTGACTCACCTGTTGCCGAACGATATCGGGAAACGCGCGATAGCACCACCACCGCACATAGGCTCTCTCTCTGTGCCGAGAAGAGGTAGAGGAAGTGGAAAGAGGAGACACCGCGGCGGCGGATGTGGCTGTGGCTATGGCTGTGGCTGTGGCTGTGGCTGCGACTGTGGCTGCGGCGACGGTGACGGCGGCGGCTGTGAAAAAGAGAGCCAATAATCGCGCGGGTTCGCGTTCGGATTGAACGTTCGGATGAAGCGGATCGGAATGAAGCGGAATGAAGCGGATAGGCGCGTGGCGCGCGCGCGATGCACGACGAGATGATGCGGATCGAGCTCTCGCCGCTCTCGCGCGGGTGACACGCGCCCGTGTGGCTCGCGTGTATATGTATGACGCGCGTATGTACGTGTGTACGTGTGTACGTGCGTACGTGAATGTGTGCGCGGTCGTACGGCCGCCGCGCCGCGATTGATGCGCCGGTGGTGGTATCGCGACTGGCGGTGGACTGGCGCGACCGTAGGTGAAGAGGATCCTGTTATCCTGTAAACAGGCCCCTTCCCCCGCTTCCGCTTCAACGGTAACGGCGACAGCGTCGACGTCGACGTCGACGTCGCCGTCGCCGTCGCCGTCGCCGTCAACGGCGGCGACGGCGGGGAAGGGGTTGCCTGGAAATTATAGGTCTGGGTTGCAGGGTAGGTAGGTTGGTAGGTTTGTAGGTAGGTAGGTAGGTAGGTAGGTGCTGGATATACGCGGGATATATCTATATAGGTGAGAGAGGAGGATGGAGATTGATTTGAGATACGGGGCTTTTTCCCTCTCGTAGCTCGACTCGGCTCGGCTCGTGGAGTGACTGAAAAACCTACCTGCATCCCAATACGTATCTCATTGCCCTTGTTTCTTTGGTAATCAGAGTATCACGAGAAGATGAGCGATTGTCTGCTGAATGACTGACTGATCCGGCTGATTAACCTACTAGATGAATGACTGATGCTGTTAAACTTTTCGTTCTTTAATACTCGGTGTCATATCGCAAGCGCTCTCCAAATTGCTTTACGAAATTTACGAAACGTCTTGACTGAAGATGATTTTCAAGCCTCTCAGTCTCATTATTGCTCCAATAGTGTTCGTCACTGTTCGAAGTAACTTTGAAATGCACTTGAATTTTAAAAGAAGAAAGCAGCAATGCAAAAATATATATATGAATATTGATATAAATGGGAATAGCATTTTTTGTCGTTATTATCGGAGTACTTTTGAAATGTACTTTAATTTTAAAAGAAAAAAAATTGTAATAAAAATATATATGAATATCGACGTAATTGGGAACAGTATTGTTTATTTTATCGTTTCTGTCTAGGTGACTTTGAAACGCACTTTAATTTTAAAAGAAAAAGGTAATAAAAAAAAGTAATAAAAAAATAAATAAGTATTGATACCATTGGGAGCATGTTTATCGTTACTTTTATCAGGATAACTTTGAAATGCACTTTAATTTTAAAAGAGAAAAAGTATAGTAATACAAGAATATATAAAATATATAAATATCGAATTACTTTTATAGTAGTTTACGAGTAGCATTTTTTAAATTTTATATAGGATCTTTTTTTTTAAGATACAATAAAAATATCTTATTCTGTAAAATTTATAGGTAAGATTTCGTGCAAGCTTTTACGACGTATAAATCGGAGATTCGACGTGGAGAGAAAGCATGTCTGGGACTTTCGGGTTCGCAAGTTGCGTCCAAAATGGATTGCCCTCGTCTCACCTCGTTCCCGCGTTGAACTCCTCAGATTTCGTCGCGTATAGATTCTGACGTCACGCGCGGCTCCATCAGAAATACGAGTCACGGTCGCATCTAACTCCGCACTGTGACAAGTTTGTTGCGAGTCAACGAACCAATCGATAGACCGATCTAATTTAGCCGTGATCATGCTATTGTACCGTAGTGCCTATTGTCCGGCCTGATCAGATCTCTTCTATCAGCCAGCCCTCTTTGGCGTCGCTCAACAAATTTATATCCCGATGAGGTTTCGTTCTTGCATTAAATCATGCTCGAATTATTCACGGCGCTCGTTTCGATTAATAATACATTATATACAATAATAATACATTCGTACGTATAGTTATACAGGAAGAAGTCACGAGTACGATTTCAGTGTGCGATTTTATGAATATAAACATTTTTTAAGAAGATCAGAAATAAAACTTCAGAGATCATTGAAACTAATTATTTTTTGATAGATTTTTATATTTTTATTGCCCATTACATACTTTTATACATCAGATATACAGCGACGTTTTGTAATGAAAAAACCGCAAATTTGCAAGTTTCCCTGAATTTGTACGATTTTCGGGCGTTTTCTCTTTAAAATCTACAAGCTCGCAATATTTACTAATATTTTTTCTGCCCGTAAGTAAAGCTTGCTTTACGTATTTGTATTCTGAAAATGGGATTAATCATAAATACGTTAGAAAAGTGTAAATATTTGCGGGCCCAACATTTGCAGCTTGAAAATTTCATTATTGACACGCAGCGAGTGAAAGCAATTTAATGTCTATAGCAATACGCTCCAACGTTTTTTAGAGCGAATTGTAATTTTAGGTGAATTCTTTAATTTGATGCTGATATTTCCTCCGCAAGGAAATAGTCACTTCATTGTCGAGTTTTCACCAACGTATATATTTAACATGTTTCCGGGTTTAAGTGAAAATTGTTACCAAAGTTTAATAAATAATTTTGTCAAAGTTTGTTTTAAATTATCGACTAGTAATTTACAAAGTTTGACGCGCCAAGATCCACCCCGGGAAAAAATGTTTCGTATATAATTATATGAAATTATTATATATAAAATTATATATAAAATATGTCCATATATATATTATATAACATTTTTTCCCCGATACATTTTCAATAATTTCGTTCTAGACGTACACTCGTGCTGAATATAAAATCAGGAATCAGGAATCGATTGGTGACTCCTGCGGGAGCTTCCTTAGCTTCCTGCGGGCGTTATCGCGCGTTATCTGCATTCCGTTCGCTGTCGACGAGCACCATTCTCAGGACGATCACGTCCCGGCAAGCGTTTCCGCGTGTCAAACCGTTATACAGATACGATTGGCTGAGGGACAATCGGAAATAGCGGCGCAACATTTGCTAACGTTATTACACGCCCGCCCGCAGGTTGATCGACAAGGCCGAAAGTGGTGATGGCGCATCATCCCTGCCGATGACGAGTGATGATTTTCGCGATTTTCCCGCCGAGGATATGACCTAGAGACCTTATAACAGAGTCTGGCCACGAGCGATTTGATCAAAATCCTACGGGAGAAAAAGTTATATATATTCGAGGAAAGAATAAGAAAGGAGAAGAAATAAGAAAGTCAAAGTAATGTCAATTTCATATTGTATTAACCGATTATCGAATATGTGTCATTTTTTTGGTCATGATCAATATGACATTATTTCAAATTTCTTGTTCTCCTTGGTACCATCTCCCTACAGAAATAATTATGTAAAAAGCTAAAAGTGTAATGAGCAATGTATTGCAAAAGTTTTGATTTTCTAACAATTAGCTTCGACTCATCTCATGTAATTATTATTTGGTTATTTCGGTTTTTAACAAAACCTTATTTATACCTGCATCTAGATAAATTTTTAGATATTTCAGCAAAATCGTTCTTTCAATATGTGTATACATTCATACTCTCTCATTCTAACTTATATTATATAATCTTATATAATTATAATAAGACAATATAAGTTACATTTCCGGCTACAGTGGGATTTAAATTAATCTGTATTGGATTAATGGCGTTGTATGCTCTATTATTAGTTCACTTTACTCATGCTCTACCAATAGTAGATTTTCCTCTACCAACGTCATTAATCCAATCCAGGTTGATTCACACAAACTGCAGTTGAAAACGCTATTAAAGTGAAATAATATATATACAGAGAGACCAGCTGTGTGTATCTTTCTCTCGCAGGATTTTAACAAAATCGCGTGACCAGACTTTGTTATAAGATTACTAGTTTGGATGAACAAAAAAATGTTTGCTCGCCGCGAATACCTAAGCTCATCTAAATATAACGGGCTTAATCTCTCACTGGATCGAACCTGTAAATGTTCAATTATCTAATCTATTAATCCCATAAACGCGTGGGATAATAATTTTCCAGCCCCTGCATCTCTATTCTACTGGATAAACAATTAAATCGCTACTTCATCTCGTATCTACGTGTGCGATAACAACGTGACATATCACATTGCAGGTCAAACACTTTTATTTCCGTAGTGAAATTGTTTTCCACGCGTATTTCCTCGTTGCAGAAAAGTAATTGCGACAGTATTCATTTTTTTTCTCGTAAAGTGCAACATGCAGTCGACCGTGAATTAAAAACGTCAGGATTTCGTTGATCAATTTACGTGCTCTCTCTCTCTCTCTCTCTCTCTCTCTCTCTCTCTCTCTGTGCCATATTTTTTTTAGTATTCTGTATCTAAATATAGTTATTAAAGCGATGTAAAATAGAGGAGAAATGGATTTTCTTTAGAAAAAAAATTGTGAAATCAATTTTCAAATCCAAGCAGAACAACAAATCACGGTAACGTCAAAATGACGTTAAAATGACGTTAAAATGAATCGAAAATGATATTTTGACAGCATTTTCATTATTATTATAATGATTTTTTCTGCTTGCGTAAGCTTTAAAGAAGGAAAGTCTATTTTTTAAATCTTATAGCTTTTCCTCGAGTAAGATTCAGTATAATTTATTATTTCAGTGTGTGTGTGTGTGTGTGTGTGTGTGTGTGTGTATGTGTTCTTTGTCTCAAAATATGAGACTGTTTCAACGCCACTATATAGCGACTTTATTGTCCTGTATAAAAGTTAAAAAACAGAGACGGGTCTTCGTAGCAGAATAGAAACAAGCCTAAGTAACAAGCTGACGTTATTTATCTTTTGTTTTAACATTAAAGTGACATTTTTACTGTTATTTTAATATTAAAATGGTGAGAAATAACATTAGCTTGCTAGTGTAGATCATTGCGTTAATCTTTTATTTCTTTCGGAAGTATTGAGTATGATCTA